CTAGGATTGTGGTTAACTTGACATCTAATGCCCCTTCCAAGGCCTAACCTTATGAGATCTCAAAGTGGGGTCTAGTCTTCAGGTTGACATTATTCTGACTTCTAAAACACAATCCTTTCAACTACCTTAAGCAACATCTCTCTGTGCAACTGGCCAGGAGGGTTTCATACGGTACAGGTTTCTCTTCAGGTTGCACACACCCCTCCCCCGCCACCCCCAGGGTTGGGGGGAAAGCCTAAGAAAGTTCATGATCCTTCCAGAGGAGTCCAAAGCTTGGGAAAACAGTTTACAGATCTTTCGCATCTGAAGGCCTTGGTCCTCAGAAGAATCCACAAGAGTACCTGAGTTGTCTGAAAGATGGAATGCCCAACAGAGGGAGTAAGGAGCCCTGGACCCTGGTCCTGCCTCTGCCACTAACTCATGGGGTGACCTAGGACAAGCATGCCATGGGGGTAACATTAGGGAACACACGTATTAGCTAGTTACCAAGCCTGGGCCAGGTAACTTTGATTTCTATGAAGCATGGACATTCTTAGGGAACCAGGCTTTACATAACTGATTATCCCCAGAGCTGAAGTGTTCTGTTCTATTATGGCAGGTGTCTGGAGTCTAATATGAGAAGCTAGTCTCCTGGCTGGGGAAGAGCAACATGCCTACAAAGGCAGACAGCTGGAGCTAGGACTGACTCCCCCCTCGTCCCCCATCCCATAGCAGGCCTGGCAATATATAGCTGAGTCTACACAGCCTGCTAGAATAAGCGAGAAGGGCCTTTCTAGATCATCAAATCCACACTGCTCTTTATCTAGCTAGGGCCATGAGAGGCCAAAAAGGGGAAATTCCTAGTTTCAAACTCCCAGGCCTTCTACTTGGCCATGACTTCTTATTTTCCCCATGGAGTCTTCAGCTCTTCAAACTAACCCCTACCCTAGACTTTATGTTCACCTGGGAAATGAATGAAAAGGGAATGTTTTGCCTTCTGTGCTCCCAGCATTCAAAATTCAGGGACATTGCAGGATTCCAGCTGTACATAGCATTATATTGGTAAGTCACTCCTTCCTGTTTTCAGAACCAAAAAAGAAAGTCGTATCCTGAACTCACAGGGTGCTGAGGAGACACGAGACACATAAAACGTCCATCTAGCTTTTGACAAGAGCCACATGACCCCCAAAGCAGGCCGACGCCTCTTTGAACAGCACTTGACTGGTCGAATATTTGAAGTCCCAGTACTGTGACTTCCAGTGTAACCTGTGTGTTCCTAGTAAAGGTCCTTCGGTTGCCTCATCTGAGACATGGGGATGAGAGCAGGAGCAGCCATTAGTGGAGCCTATCAGCTCCTCAGACGTGCACTCGCAGCCCTCGCGTTCAGGGCCCGCAGAGCAGCCACCCGCCTCCCTGCCAACGGCCCTGACAGATGGCCAGGGCCACCTCCGGGCTTCCCTCCAGGTTCAACCACTCCCCTCATCCCGTCTGCAGCTCTTCCAGGGCCCTGGGGCCCAGCCCCATTCCTTAGCAATGTCATTTTTATAGGCAGTTGCCCATGTTTTTCCTTTCACTTGAAACCATTTAAGTGATTCTTTGAGAAAAATTAAAATATGCCACACCATTTGACTTCAGGAAGTGCAAAAGCTTCAAATACTTTTTTTTTCCCCATCCTTGGGTTTCTCAGAATTACAACTGAGGTCAACCCATTAACATGCAAAGACCAAAGAGAGAGAAAAAAAGAACCCGCTTCTGTGAGAGGCAAGCCCAAGCTTGTACTTTTATAGCCATCCGGTTACAGAAGCTCACCTGATGCAGCATGGTGTGAGCAGACCCCTGGCCTAGGAGCAGAGCCTGTCCTTGGGGTGACGTGTTGGCCTCAGGCCAGGGCACGGCACGAGTCTTGTCCTCTCATTAATCGAACCTAACCTGCAGGACCGATGGGAGAATGAGGCCAGGTGTATCCCAACCCAGGGGGCAAAGGCAAGCCAAGCATCTCCGTTTGCCTCACTCGTGCTTTAAAAACTTACCTGCTATCCACAGAAGGAGGAAGAAGAGGTGAACTAGATGATTCAAAGCAACAGATATCTGTGGAGCGTCTTCAGCACTGGGCAGCGGGGAATATATAAGCGATAGTCCCTTTTTGGTCTGGGGAGGAAAATAGGCAAACTGAGGGAAGGGTCAGAGAAGGCCTCTGGCAGGGGATGACAGCCAGCCTGTGTTTTAAAGGGGCCCAGTGAAGGGGAATTCCTAGTCAATGGCAAGTCAACATGGTGTGTTTGGGGGCACCAGAAGCCCCCAAATTCCAGTGGAGTAATGAGCAATCCACTCAGGCATTAAAGTCAGGCAGCCTGGGTTTGGATCTCCACTCTACCACTGACCAGCTGTGCGGATGAGAACAAGTCATGTGACCCTTTAAAACTCTTATTCCTTAGGCACAAGATAGAAATCATTATAATACATTTCTTGTGGGGATTAAGTAAAATAATGCATGTAACATACTTAGTAAAGTACCTAGAAAATAGCTATCACTCAAAATGTATTAGCTATTACTATTATTACAAGCACTACTACTGATTATTAGGACAGAGGTGAGGGATGAGAACGCAAGGGAACATGAAGGCCATGTGGAGGAGCTTGGCCCTGATCCTGCAGGCACACTGGCGTCAGAAAGGGGATTCCGGCAGAGAAGAGGTACAGCTAAACGTGCTTCCCTGTGATTCCTTCTGACTTGATGTTCCACATCCCACAAACAGGAGGCAGGGCCAGAGAGATCTCAACAGCCATCACGATGCAGAGTAAGCAGCCCTCAGTGTTTTGGCCCTGACTCTGAAACCAGAGGGCAACCTTGTCGAGGACTTGTGCTGCCAGTGTGTCACCATTCAGCCAAAAAGCAGAGATAGGAATTGGATTATAATTGCACGTTTGTTAATATCCGAGGCCAGCCATCTAAGAAGGTGGAGGATAAAAACCCTAATATCCCCCCTCCCTTGAACTTTCAGAAGCAAGCTTACGTAGGGGAAACATGGGAATTTGGGAGGGGGACATTCCTAGGGGGGCCTACATGGGGAGTCTGGCAGCATCTTCCCAAGCTCATTCCCTCTGCTCTGGTGTTCTCTCTCCACTCACATTAGTATTGCTTTCTTCCTCCAGATACCTGTAGCGTCCGGGCATCAAAGCTTTGTATTCTCTAGTTAGGTAGAAGAGGTATAATCCATTTGCTCTCAAGTGTCCTTGGTTAGGGAAAATAAAGTCTTGTGACTCATCAGCTGGCTCTAAGTTGCTCAAACTGTTTAGTCTTATCTAATTTTCTTGTCTAGGTTTCCCCATTCTACTCACTTACTATCCTAGTTTCTTACTATCTTGTCTCAATTTACACACCCCAAAACTGTGGGCTGTGGGCTAAAACAGGCAGGGCAAGAACGCTCATTGTAATATGAGTAAGAGATGGGTTCAGAAGCCTGGAAGCTGGCCTTCCAGCCCAAATCACCAAAGAGACCTTGGGATCAGAGTCCCTTTAAGGGGTGAGGGCAGGCAAGGGTGAAAACTGACCCCCTGCCTCTGATGAAGGTGCCCCTAGCAGCAAGCTTGTTCAGACAGCAGAGGGAACTCTTCACTTAACGTTCAACTATTCCAAGTCCAGTGCTGTGAAGAACCAAGAGGGATTTTCCCCAGCCTGGGAGGAGAGGGCATTGGGAAGACTGTGAGCCCAGCAAGTACTGTAAGCAAATGCATGGTGTATTGTTTTCAACGGGATCAGCCTATGGCTGCCTAGTGTCTGATGGACAGAATGAACAGTAATTGATGATGACATCATCCAAAAGACCTCAACGTCAGGTCATAGACCTACCAGTTTTACAGCTAGGGAAAGCAAGGCCCAAAGGAGAAAAGGAATTTGCCCAGAATAAGTTGAATTCATGAGGCATTGTAGGAAATGTGTAACTTGGTTATTTGCATACAAAGTAGTTACAAGAAGAAGAAGCTAAACCACCATCACCAGTGAGTGTATTTAATACAATATTTTTATATTTTAAGCCATAATGACATGAACATTGTCTTTTTTCCCCTGCTAAGAGAGTTCCTGATAGCAGGCTCCCTGCTTAAGCTTCTTTGATCCTATATCCTCTTACAGTTGAGCACAAGAATGTTTTTATCTCTACTGTCTGGCAAAACAGCCTCAAGGAGGAAACCTGGCCTCTGGAATCAATCAGACTTAGATGTGAATCTCAGCATTTCCAACCATTGCTTGACCTTGTACCATTGACCGTGTCTAGGCACCAGGGCTAACCTTGCAGAGTTATTCTGAAAATTAAATTAGCTGAAATATGTATAAGCACCCAGTTCAGTATTTTAATAATACCTCTCTTAAGGAGCTGCTTCAAAGATTAAGTGAGGTGAAATATGTAACAGGACAAGAATGGTACCTGGTACATACAGGAACCTGGGTCATATATGTCTTTGTCCCCCAACTTCCACAGCCTGGTAAAAGTCTGAGTAGAAACAATCCATTTTTTAAAATACAAGGGTACTTGATGGCAAAATGAGAAATAAACAGATTTCTGTGGTGAGAACCAAGGGAGGGGGGCAGGGGCTGGGTGGAGGTGGGCAAAGTGGTGGGGGGGAAGGAGGGACATCTGTAATAGAGCCAACAATTTAAAAAAAGAAAAGAAAAAATAAGCTATAGAAATCTAATGCATAGTATAATATAGTGAATATTGTACCATGAAGATGTAATGTGATAAATATTGCTTCAATGGCAATCATATCACAATATATAACTAAATCAAAATAACATGCAGTACACCTTAAATTTACAAAATGTAACATATCAAATTTATTAAATAAAACATGAATTAAAAAAAAATAAAAGGTAATAAACCACTTTAAAAAAATAAACAGATTTCCTTTGCCCCTAAATGGAAACAGCATGGGAATGGTCTCCACCAAAGGGCAGTGGAAAGATCTGGGGTCTCCCGTTCCCAGAGTAGAGATGTACAGTTAATGTGTGATTTCATTTTTAGGAAATTACTCAGAGGACATCTCACATATCCTGGAAAGGGCTCCATTCAAGAAGTCATGGGCCTACCTCCAAGGTCAGTAACCAAATCTAGGAACCCCAACTATCTGAAGGCCAATTCCTACAGCCTTTCTGAGACTCTTTTTTCTCTTGGAAAACTTTTTTTTTTTTAATTTATTATTGTTCAGTTACAGTTGTCCTGACTTTTCTCCCCGCTCTGAGACTTCTGAACCCAGAGGTCACAAGTAGAGGCCTCTGGTCAAATGTGACCTGCAGATGTGTTCTGTTTAGCCTGCAAGCCATCTTTTATAATGTGAATTAAAATGCCTTAGGGGAAAGAGAAGAGAGTTACTCTAGCCTCAGCCAGTTCACTGCATTCACTCCTTCTATTGACTACCTGCCCCCTGAAGGCATGTATGTCCCACCACCCCCTGTACCTCTCTCTGTTCAGCCCCCTCCAAGTTGCAGACGAAGTGCATAGTACCTTCCCTCATATAAGGGAAGCAGGCTCTTCATCTCTGCCTCTGTCAAGTTATTCACAAGGGGACCACAAAATTGCCCTGTCCCCAAACTGACAGCTTAATGAACAAGTCAGCACAGGGCCTATTTGCATATTACTGCAAGGAAAGAGCCCCCTTATAAATGAAATACTTAGAGCCACTTATACTGAGAAAGATGAGATATGGAGGAGAAGGCCAAGATTCTCTGAATAGCCATTCTGCTCATTTTAGAAATTCAATTTTGCAGTTAGATTAGTTTGCCCTCCTCAATTGAATTGCAAGGAGGTTTAAAGGGAAGGCATAGAGGCCATTAAAACTAACATGCCAGCTCCCCAGTTCTGAAAGGCACCCTGACATTCAGTGCTGGCTCACCTGTATTAGGGCCCAGAGAGACTTGGCTTCTGACATGAATATGTTGGCTTAAATAATCTGGGGTTTCCAACCTTTTGCGTGGCGTCTCTGGACCACACTGGAAGAAGAGTTGTCTTGGGCCACACATTAAATACATTGCAGCATATAATCACAAAAAAATCTCATAATGTTTTAAGTAAATTTACGATTTTGTGTTGGGCCACATACATAGCCATCCTGGGCTGCATGTGGCCTGTGGACCACAGGTTGGACACCCCTGGGAGGATCTGCTAACACTTTGCTTTTCTGTATATCTCAGCTTAGAAGAGCTCCTTAGTGTGCATGTAAGGGGTATCTACATTTATGTTTAGCTGCCTTTTCAAAAAGAGGAAGACATTTAAAAATTTGGATGATGAATGGTTAAAGGATGCATAGTATTGTGAAAGGGAACAGACTGAGATTCTCCTGGACATCTTGATGCCTAAATTGATTACTAATTGAACAAAAATAAATGTCCTACTTCTGGTATTTTGTGCAATGCCTACCAAATAGTAGTCCCCCCATGGATCAAGTACTCATTGATTGATTAAACAAGTGAACATGATAATCCAGAACTTGAGGGGACTACATCCAGGAGTTTGTAGTCTGAAAAGGCAAAGATATCGTAATAATAGAATAATATAATAATTAAATGTCAAGTAATTCTGCAGGAGGTAGAGAGAGGTCCAACACCCTGTGTGTTCTAACCCCCAGCTTTGAGCATTAGAGAAAAAGAAGAATTAAGCAGCACCTAGAAAGAGTAACACAGACAATATTTCAGATGGTTGGGACAGCAGACAATATTATACAAGACATAGGTCTGGAATGGGGAACCTTGAAAAAGATTTCACATTTCTTAGTCTGCACCTGACATCTGCCCCTTAATTGTTTTGTTTTTTCTTCTCTTTCCAGTATCAAAGCACATAAACAAAACCAAGTTGACATGGAACAAAGATGGCATCGTCCATGGAGTCAAACATCAGGACGGGAACCTGGTCATTCAGTTCCCAGGTTGGTACTTCATTATTTGCCAACTACAGTTTCATGTCAAATGCCCGGAACATTCTGTCGACCTAAAGTTGGAACTTCTCATCAACAAAGATGTCAAAAAGCAGACACTGGTGACAGTGTGTGAGTCTGGAGTGCAAACCAAAAAGATATACCAGAATCTCTTTCAGTTCCTGCTGCAGCACCTACAAGTCAACAGCACCATATCAGTCCAGGTGGATAAATTCCAGTATGTGGATACAAACACCTTCCCTCTTGAGAATGTGTTGTCCGTCTTCTTATACAGTAGTTCAGACTGAACCTTTTCTCCTGGCCTCTGTCATATAGCACTTCATCCATCCAAACACTTGGGCAAAAAGGAAACTCTAGAACAAGACTGAAATCACAAAGGGTGTTAAATAGTATGCTTCTCCTTCTGTCTCTTGGGAAGATACAGCTCCAGGGTTAAAAAGAAAATTTCAGACAGATGGCAGGGAAGCAGTATGGCGTGGTGGACAGAGCCCCACATGAGAATCAGAAGGGATGGCTTTACGCCCCAACCACTAACTCACAGTATGACCTGGAGCTATTCCTTTCCCATCCTGGGAACTCAGGATCCACATCTGAAGAATGAAAGGGCTGGATCAGAATCTCTCCAAAGTCTCTTCCATCTCCGAAGACCAGCCTCTCTCGTCACAGACCTGTGAACTAAGATTCCAGACAGTGCTCTGGAAGCCCCCAGGCAAAGGGAAGGCCCTCACACCAGTATAAAACCAATAGTACTATTAGCTTTTGGCTGCCTGTCACCTCCACAGAGTCAGAATTTGGAGACAACGTTCAGGGCACCTATCCAAATGGTATGAATTATAGGACCTATTAATGTGTATAAAAACAAAAAACAAAAAACAGAAACTGCCAAACTGACCATCCCGAATCTAAGAGGCCTTCTGGGTATTTGGAAAACTGTCTGACCAGGTTCGACTCCATTCTAGTTAAGGGGAACAATAACTCAACAACAGACGGTTTTTGGTGTTTGTCAGGAAAGTACTGTGCATTCAGCCAACTCTCAGATCAGTGTGCAGTGGTCCAAACGGTGTGGTTATTTGGTCAGGGCATAGCTTCTGCCATCTCCCTCATGATCTCATTCTGTTCCCTGTTCAAACACCTCTCAGAAATCCATTTCTGGGCAGGGTTCGTAAGGCCCCAAAAAGTTGTTGATAGACAATGATGATCCTAAAAATGGTGAAAAGGACTCCTGAGCAAAGCCAGATTTCACTCGCTACATCAGCCTTGACAGCTGCCCATCATCTTTGAAGGAACATCCTATTGTTTGAAAAGGCCATTGGACTAGAAGCCAACACTCCTGGGGTTATGCTTCAGAAACAAAAGGGACCTTTAACTCTATGCAAAAGAGTGAAAGGAAATTTGCATTTTTCTCAGGAAGGGGGAGAGAAAAGAAAGGATTAGGAATTCAGGAAAGTTTGTCAGAGAAAGATTAGAAAAGATTTAAAAGAAGGGGAAAAAATCAGCAGTGGTGGTATGGATGAGAGGAACTTGGGAGAACAGAAATGACTGAAATTTTAAGTGAGTAGCTGAGCAACATGATCTATTGACTGCTCCTAGGTCAATGAATTATTCAGTAAAGTCTACATTTCTCTTCAATGCTTCCTGTGAGTAGATTCTTTGGGAACAAGACGCATTGGAAGAGGTGTTGAACTCCACAAGCCAAGTAGTATGTGGTAAAAACATAGGCAGGTTTGTAGGACGCAAAGCTAGAGAATAAGGAGGCTTCTCGCATTTGAGTTATACCCTAACTCTGCAGGACAAATGAATCTTACCTTAAACAAACTCATGCATTCTTGAAAATGTATCTGCAAACCAAGCATATGTAAACTAAGCAAATTTTTTAACCTTTCTCATTCCAACTTGAGAAAGATTCCATTTTCACTTTTCACCAGCCATCCTCCAAGCAGAGGTGCCTGACTTGGACATAGTGAGTGGTTCCCAGTCAGGCTCTATCAAGAGAATAGCTGAAGGCACAGGGGGTTCTGCATTGACAGGAATCTTGTAGCAAGACCTAAGAGCAAGAGAATAATCTTTAGTCACTCACCTAATAGTTAAATAGGGAGTGGACCACCTAGGAAGTTCAAAACTAAAGTTACTCTCTGAGGGATAATCAGCCCCTGGACATGCTGTGAGCAAATAACACCATCTTTGCAAGTAAAATAAATGATTTTTTAACTGGGGAGTCAGGCCACCTGCAACACATGCCTCTTTGGTAAAAACTCAAGTGCTCTTCCTTCCACCCCCTAATACACACGCACACAGTATACTTGTACAACTTACAGAAGAGGGTGAATTGATGAAAAGTAACAAGCCAATGTAGACTAAATAAATGTATTGCTGCCCTTGGAAAAATTAATACCATTGATTTATTCCCACACAAGGACAAAGCCTTTCGTTAAGAGGATAATCGGTCTATGTCATCTCTGGAAAGATCCTGAGAGATCAGCTAAGCCGATGTTTGAATGGAAGCCCATTGCAAGGCAGGGACTTGAGGAGTCTTCACCCATGACTAGCAGCAGAGCTAGGATGTGAGCCCACCCTCCTGGCTCTTGTCTCCACAATTTCCCACCGGGCGTTATGGGTCTCCTTCTGCAGCTTATCTCTAACTCCTCAGGTCACATGTTCAAGCCCCGCACTGAAGCAGTCCCTGGAGCTCAGGGTTTTCCTCAAGTGCTCTGCCTTGCCCCCACTTCAGTCACTCCAGGATCATCTTTCTAACGTGAGACACAGATGGTCTGTAGATTCAATACACAGTTCAGATCTCAGGGAAAGATCAGAGTCCCATGATATAAAAGTTGTCTCTCTCTCTCTCAGAAACTGAAGAAATATGTAAGGCTGTTATTTTTTCCAATAAAAAAATTAAAAACTTGTTTTAATTTGAAATTATGTGTATATGTGTTAATGCATATATGTGTGTACACATCTGTATATGTATATAAGTATGTGCACATGTATGCATTATACACATACATGTATTATATACGTGTGTGTGTGTACTTTCTTTAGTAATTGTTTTAAGGGTCATCGGCTTAATCTGGGGTCAGGGGAGGAAGCCTGATTCTTGCTCCAGTCATTACAAAATTTGTATTTACTTGTATTTATTTTTAATTATAAAAAGAACAGAAAATAATATTTCTTCCATGCCTCACCAGCTTATTTAATAACCATTAATATTTTGCTATATCTGTCTCTGCTTTTTAAAAATAAAATAATACATATAGAACAAAAGTCTCATTCCTCTATCCACGTCCCTACACCTTCCCCAGAGAATAATTATTGCCTGGAAGTTTGTGTACCCCCTTTATTTGCATAAACTTACACTTGTTCTCCCATAAAATTATATAGCAGAGTTTACAGTAGATTTCAAAATTTCAATAAACAATACCATACTTTATATAACATTTTGTGAATTGAGCGTTTTCATGTAATGGTAAGTTTTTGAGATTTATGCAGATTGATACATAGTAGTTCTAACTCATTCGTTTAACTGCTATATGCTAATATTTCATTATTTAAATACCCCACAATTTGCCCATTCTTCTATGGATGAACATTTACTTTGCCTCCTGATTTTGCTGCAATGAGCACATCTTCCTGCACAGATTCCCACCACTTGTTGCCATTTTTCTACACAACAAAAATACTCTTTAAAAACTATAAATAGAGTAGTTCCCCCTTTATCCACAAGGAATACATTCCAAGACTTCCAGTGGATGCTTGAAACGACAGATTGTATCAAACCCTATATATACTGTGTTTTCCTATACATATTCCCATACCTCTTAACTTAAAAAATAAAAGAACTTACGGGCTTCTCTATGACATATCGAAATTGCCAACATCACTACTCTTGCATTTTGGGGCTATTATGACATAAAAGAACGGTGACTTGAATACAAGCACTATGATACCGTGACAGTCGATCTGATAACTGAGATGGCTACTATGTGATTCATGGGCAGGGAGCGTGTAGGGTCTGGATACGATGGACAAAGAGATAAGTCATGTCTCCAGTGGGAGCTGCGTAGCATGAGATTTCATCACAGTCCTCAGAACAGCCTGCAATTCGACACTTATGAATTGTTTATTTCTGGAACTTTCCATGTAATATTTTCAGGCCACGGTTGACTGTGGGTAAGTGAAAGCACACAAAGTGGAACCATGTATAAGGGAGAATCCTGTAGTAGCCTGAAGCTACTGAGTCAACCGTGGCTAGTGAGATTAGAGCCCTCTGTGTGGTCACAGCTCATGAGCCAGAGCTTTGGAATCTGAACCAGCTCTTTCCACCCTTCTTAAGCACTTCTCTGCCTGTGCACCCACTCCGCACATGTCATGAGTGCCCAGGTAGTACCTGGCCCCGTGCCAGGTGCCAGTTTATGAGCCAGTGTGGTATGTGCCATGGCTCTACCAGGCTGCTGCAAAATCAAGGCTAGTTAGCATGTATTTGGAACATGCCTTTCCAGAGCACTCTGGGGCTTCCCCAGATCCAGCTCTCTTTCTGGAGAGTATGTGAAAAATGCCAGAGTGAAGGAAGGACAAGCACAACCCCTGTAGGATATCTCTGCCTCAGATGAAATGCCTGTGTTCTCTCAGGTCTGTTCCAGACCTCTTTCTCTTGACACTCCATACTTTCTCCCTTGATGACTTAACTCCCATGGCTTCAAATGACATCTTCTTGTCAATGATTATATAATCCAGACATCCAGCCTTGATTTTCTCCTAAAACCCAGCCCTATATATTCAGTAGACTCTTGGTTCTATCCATTAGTTCTCTCTGAGCCCTTGCAACGGAAGACTAGCACTTGATGTCTAGCGCAGTAACTTTTGAGGTTTGGTGGGGGGTTTTTAACCATGACACAGAGGGAAAAATGTTTTACTTTGCAAACAAGGATGCATACACACACACAAACACGCATGCATGCATGCACACACAACCCAAGAGAAAAGTTTTATTACATTGAGTTGCCCTTACTATTTGCAAATAAGAAAAAAAAAATCTTGTTGTGACCACTTGAATTGATTTTAAGATGCTTTTGTGAGTCAGAACTCACAATCTGCAAAATACTGTTCCTGTGTGAACTTCCCTCCTCCAGGAGTTGGAAAACTAAAGATACACTTCCCTTATTCTCTTGTGGCTTGGGCTCTATGGTAGTTTCATCTAAGATAGAAAAGATTTGGGGAGGCTTGTCCCTTCCACCACTGGCCTAGCTGTGGAGGCATTTGGTGTTTCTGCAGCTGCTTTTGCAGAGGTTCCCATGTTTAGACACTAGCCTAGTAGGCGTGGCAAGTCTGGGTGTACGGAGAGGAGCATCCCTGCTGCTGAAATGGTCTGTTGCAGATTTCCATTGGTCCTAGAACTGGCAGTAGTAGCAGCTTCCTGATTGTAGTGGTTTCCGGTTTGAAACAGCAGTGTGGTGGCTCCTGAGGGGGAAGCTTCCTGGTGCAAGATTATTGAAGAGATAGCAGCCCAGTTCCTAAGAGAAAGGGTTGGGGTTGCTCCTGAAAGCTCAAGCTGAATTCTGTTTCCTCAGCTCTCTTGACAATTCTGTAAGCCATTTAATACCCTGTGATAAATGCCTTCCTGCTAAGCAAGCTAGGGTGAAGTTTGTTCTCTGCAACTGATCCCTGATGGATAGTCTCAGCATGTACCAAACCTCACGATACCCCAACTTGTCACCATTCCTGTGTTCTAAATCCCAAAGCCTACGTGAGTCTTGCAGGCCCGTTCTTTCCTATTTCCTATCCACTCCACATCTGTCCAATTCATCTAATTCTCTAGTCCCAGCCACCGTCCTCCCACTTGCATCCATTCACTCCTATCTCCTTCCAATTCGCATCCTTGGCTCTCGTCTTTCCCCTCACAAATCCCATCTCCAAATAGCAGTAACAACTCTCCACCGTTCTTGGGCTTGGTAGCAATAATCATTTACCTGGCTCTCACATGTTATGCACTTTACATGTCCTCACTCATTTAATCTTCAGAACAACCCTATGAAGTAGACTTCATTATCCCCACTCAGCAGACAATGACATCAAGACTTGGAGGCACGGGTAGCATGGCCAGCATCA